CTTATTATCCTTATGATTTATTGAAAAATTATAACCTGGATTTATTCATAAAACTGACTACTACAGTAATTAAATGTATAATTATATCATATAAAAATGCGGCCTTTTCTGTACAGTTTTGATGAATACATAAAGTTTAAGCTATAGATTTTTAACTTAGTTACTAAATGGAAAAATTATTTTGCAGCCAAATATATTTTTCCAATTCAATGAAACACACAGTGATAACGAACAGCAGTCCATAAAACAATACAAAATAGGAGCAGAGGAAACACGGACCTCCAAAACATCAGAGATGGGATTAGGTGCCATGGAGGAGTAAGTATTCCCTGCTGACCAGTCATACCCACCATGTGTTCCTTGATCAATAAATAACGGGAAAATCCGGTGTCAATTCAGTTTATAAATAATGGACTAACAATTCGTATGTAAAACATCAGTCAGCATTTCACTCACTGAAAAATTGTATTTGCTGACAAGATCATTGTATCAACCATAGAACTTACGAAACGAGGCTGCTGATATTGCTGCTTCATCAACTTATTTGTCAATAATTTACCTCGTTTTAGAAATTGTTCATACGCAGAGCATGCTCTTGCGTATCGAATCATTAACTGAGATACATAAACTCCGTATGCAGGTGATGAAGGTAAATTGCTGCATTAGTTACGATACGACACGATACGATAGAAAAGTTAAGTCAACACGTTTATCATGGAGCTTAAAATTGGTTGCTAGATTACCATTTACGTTTTTTTTTTCATGTCAAATATCCAAATATTAAACATTTGAAGTTCCATTTTTTTTTTCACTCTTTCGTTTGCCGATGGAGGGCTGCAAATCTTGTCCTATATTTGCATGGCTCTCTGTGCCAAAGAGCAGTGCGGGACCACAGTTTATGCGGTTTCATCCAATGGACCAATCTCCACGTCCCGCGGAAGGATTTGAACCAGTGACGTATAAGAGATCAACTGCTTCCTCCCGTCTTTAGAGATAATAATCGTTCTAGAGATAGGCAATGTGCAACATGGGCGTTTAGTATACTTTTAAAACTATTATAAATAAATCGTAAATGATTTTTTTTAAAATTTTGCTATTACTATCAATACTTTTTTTATTGAGCCAGGCTTACAGGACTGATTGATTGATATTTATTTGGTGTTCTACATACCTTGGTTCAATAACCTCCCTTTTTTCTTTTACAAAATCATTAAGAAACAAATAAAAAATTTTGACATGAAACTAAAATTGAAATGTGTCACAACCAGAAAACATTACTGTTAGACACAGCACATCTTCATATACTAGTATCAAGAATAACCTATTAGTAAAGTCTTATATATGTTTTTTCCGCTTATATGACAGAGAACACAATACGTTATGAGTTGCATATACAGCCTTCGAAGTGACAATGATTGCATTAGATAAATTGAAACCAAACACTCTCGTATGTTCTAAATTTAGCTTTACATGAAAAGAATCCAGAATACTTAATAATGAAATACACTTCCTTTTTGGTAATAGATCCTGTGTTTTCTTTCAGCACTCGTATATCTTTTAAAGTAAGGAAACAATAGCAAAATGATTAAAGCCGAAGATCATGGTTAAGACGAAATAAATAATGTTTTGATCACAATTTGAATATTCAATGAAAACTAAAATTGACATTTTACCTTATCTCATTATTATTGTCATTGACATGTAAATAAGGAGGAAATACCTAAGCATACACCTCGGGAGAAATAACATACAACTTATACATGTATTGCTAACAGACTAAAGAAATCTACCAACTTCTTTACTCCTAAATAACTCTTTAAAAATAGGCTTATATCAAGATGTTTATTTTTGTATATAGATTTTATATCGACAATTTAGTTATGTTTACTTAAAAAGGTTACTTTTTGAATTTCTTTGAATTTGTAAATCTTTCAGTTTTGATAATAGCAACCAAATAATTAGGTAAAGTTCCTTATTGATGGCATTTTGAAACAAAGTCAAACTGTTGGAATTTCGATGAGCTCTCATGGAAGAATTGATAGCAGAATCTTAGTAGTTTTTTACTATCAAAGTAAAAGTACAGTTACGTTTATTACTAAGGTTGAGTATATTTAAATAAAGTGTAATATTGTATGATTTTTGTGCTATAGTAAATCAAAACACCTTTAAATGAATTTGAAATTGTAAACTTTATCCTCTCTATTTTTTGTATATATTCCTTATGTGAAAGAAGAAATATTACTTGCTTGTTTATATGTTAATTATAAACATTATTCATTTGCATGAATATTAGAGAACTTAAGTCTGAACTATCATAAAAAGTTCAAAAATTTAGTTTCATAATGAATCAAAATATTTAAAGTTTTTATTGTTGTTAACTATAGTTAAATAGTTCATTTAAGCTGTTATTAATATTATATTATTAACTATAGTAATATTTTGTTTGAGAAGCTGTGCTGAAATCAAGAGTAACACTCTTTTTATAATAAAGTCAACGTACAAAGAAACGAGAAAAAAAATTGTTAGAGTTATTGTATCCAAACACAAAACACATACAAAACCTTTGTAATTAACCAAATAATTTTATTCTAGTTGATGCAAATATCAAATTTCTAAAATATAAGGAAACTATAAACTTATAGAATAACATTTGATACAACGTCCCGACAATAAATAAGCATGGTGTCTTCAATTTAGGGACGATAATAGGAACAAACTAGAAACGATCTCGTTGCGAGCAACGAGAGGTCTTCCGTCCGATTCTGAAATAAAAAACGAAAAAATCCACCCAAAAAAGTGATTAAAATTACGGACACACGGGGGATCGAACCCGGGTCGCTCGCGTGAAAATCCAAAGCGCTTTTCGTTATTCCGAGCGCGCTATCCACTATGTTATCGAGGCCACTCCTCTAAATGCAATTGTGTATATACAGACAATGTCTTAAAATTATGAAAGGCAGGCCACAATTCATAATTTTGCGCCAAACGCCACGAGTAAATTTTTGCGCCTTGCCTTTGAAATGTCTTATTAAATAGGTGTAATAGCTTCAATGAAATGACAAAAGAGCGTTCTTATCACTTAAATTTCGAGGTGTAGAAAGTATATTTAACACATCACATATCGCATATAGGCAAGTGACACTAAAGCAGTGAAACGGCTATGAAAGGTTCACTTTTTTAAAATTTCCTGTTTATCACGAAAGTGGACTATTCATGAAAATGTTGAAATGCCTCGCCCTACGACGGTCAAGGAACAAGATACCATTTATGCTCAATAACTTGGACTGAGAAAAAAAATGTTTATATAAAGTCAATTAAACGATCTTTCAAAAATAGTTATCTTTAAAAAAAAAGAAGATTCTTATTGTTGTCTTTTCTTTAGTTTAATTAGACACAAGTGTGCACGGGAAAACAGTGGTCACATTTTATACTTACTATATATATTGTTTCTTGAAAAAACATTGCTTATAACCATGATTTAAGATCTGTTTTTCCTTGGTGTAAAACAAAAGGTTGTCGAAATCGTATTTCATGTGTACATGTAGTTTTGTTTATTTTCTACTTTGAGAACCAGCCAAAACCAATTAAAGAAGGCGTTTAAGAAGACCATGGATTAAAACCTTAGTTTTACAAGAATTGCAACGTAACTACGACGTGACAATCCAAGTACTCCTTCACATTTCATTGATCCTTATGTCACTTTCGTTCAACAAAACGCTTGGCTGCCTCCGTAAACCCCTATTCGCTAAATGGTGGAGTCTACGGAGACATCCGCCATTTTGGACCCGCTTCAGATTTTCAAATGTTAATATCACGAGTTTGGATTTATCAATTTACAAACAAATTATATATTTAGCCTAATTAAAATGATGTCTATTAACTTTCCTAAAATAATTCAAAAATATTGAAAAACAAAAAAGCTAGAAAATTTGACTTTTTAAATTCGCATCTGGTAACGACCGGAAGTAGAGACGACGAACAAAAGATCGCGTCCTGGATAGTACTTATCACGATCTATAATCCCTGAAAGTTTCACAGTGGTATCTTTTGCCGTTCTTGAGATTAACCCTGGACAAAATATCATTTTAAAATCAGAAAAGTGTCAGTAACTTGGCACTAGATAAGAATTTTCAAAAAATCTCTCGGATAAAATAACTTTAGATAATAACACATTATTTCTGCAAATTTCATGAAAATCCCTCCAGTAGTCTTTGAGAAATCGCGTGCACAAAATTAGATGTACGGAAAAATAATAAGAAGAAGAAACAGTAGAATCACTATAAGGTCTTCCGTGAAGACGAAAGACCTTAAATATTGCTGGCTGTTTGGATTGATATACCATGTATTCTGATTGTAACTGATGTAAATATCAAATTTCTATAATGCTAAAAAAATGTAAACCTTGTGCAATGATTTTTAGAATTCTATACAACTATTTTAATCATTTTATTTTGTGAAACTGAACTTGAAGAAGACTGAAAAATCTCTGCAATTATGTCATTTATTTCAAGCATATAAACATGACTTAAATTGTTATTTTCATGATTTTTTAGAAAAGTATAATCTACTGTATCAGTTTCATGAACATACATTATTTTACTTCTTGATAAAAAAAAAACCCTGTCATACATCAAATGTAATAAAGTAACATCGTTGTTGTCATGGTGATTTAATCTTAGCTTAAATAGTAATGTAGACGAAAAACAGAAGACTGTTATCTAATTGAATAGATTCACAAAACAAAATATTGTACACAGCAATCACCAGTTTTCCTTTTCAACTCTGATAAGTTGAAATAAATACCTAAATGTATAGTTTGGGTTTTTTATGATTCTCCAGAACATTCTGCATTCTTTTGTGAATTTCTGTTAATCCAACAAATATAGATGCAAATTCTGTAGCATGATGAACCAGGGTTAGAGTTAGAAAGATATAGGAAGAGCTCAAAACAGTGCAGCAATCCTTTGTTTGTTTGTTTTGCTAAATTTAAATTTAATTTTCTATACCTTTGAATTTAAATTTATATTATAGTCTGATTATGATTCAAAAGAGGACATGGATCTACTTTACGAGTACTTCACCTATATCCACCGTCATTTCTTATTTCTGTACAGATGGACTTTATGATTAAATATGCCTTGTTCAACGACGAGCAGTACAGTGTCAGCAAGGTAAATCATTTCCAGTAACAATTAAAACTGAGTATATTTAATTAAATAAGCTATTTATACTGCGTAAGGATACTGAGAGAATAAAGGGCATACAAACGTGTTCACTTACTGACGACTCTTACCGTGAGACCATGATGCCCCCACCGACCATAAGAAGCACTTTTTTTTAATTACAAATCTGATTTTAAAAACAAATCGCCGTTTAAATGAAATAATTTAGATAATGGCATGTTAAATGATCCGAAATACCATCCTCAAACATTCTTTCTGCACATTTTGATTTGAATAGGTTGTAAAATCTTCTTATTAAAAGACTTATAGACTTATAAATATAGACGTCAAAACGTTGATTATGAGGATTAGACTCAAACTTGGTTAAAGAAAATTGCATCATGTGCGCACAAATGTATCAAAATTTTAAATAAAACTTAGCCGTGGCAAGTTAATCAGTAGTTGTTGCTCTCTCAACATATTTAAGTTCATATTCCATCACTTTTCTAACAGTTTAAGACAATAGATGCAAAAAAGGAAAAATATTGTTGGATTGTCATTAAAATATCAAAAATGAAGGATGCGTATCGTTAAATTTGGATTTATAACTAAGTGATTATTTCTGCAAGCCTAAACTGCGTCTGTAGCATACACTGAGTCCGGGAATCGTGCGTCATAGTACCTGTCAAGCGTCGTCACGATATTGGTGAAAGTCGCTCTATCCTCGGGTTTGGTCTCCCAGCAATTTCTCATTAACACCGCGTGGCTAATTATTAAAACAGATATTAACATCTCGTATTAACAGATTGTTCTGATAATGATTTCGAAATCAATTATCATTTTGCAGATGATTGTTCTATGTACTTACGTTTCGGGACAAAATTCTGGGGCGCTCATTCTGTAGCCATTCTTTACTTTCATTGTGAGAACTTTCCAATCAATTCCAGGGTAAGGATTCTGTCCTGTAATGAAATGTGTAGAAACCGTTAGTTATATAATAGCTTCAGGTCGGAGGACACCTTTCTCAAATATATGTTTTGTTTTACTTGGTACTTTATAAAAAAAAAAATTGGCATAATTGTAATTCTCTTGTGATTTCTTAATTGTTTTCAAAATGTTTTTAAATACTAGTATATGTTCACCAAAAATTGTGAAATTCTTGGAAAAGATTATATATTTTTGAGAAACGTGTCGTCTGACCTTAATTACCGGTAATTATAACTATTGAGAGCAGAGCAAGTACGGATGCTTGAAATATCTGATACGGGATCAGGTGCCATGGAAAGTCAAAATTCCCTATCGACCAGTCAGGCCCACATTGAGAATTTTGCAATGACGATTGTAAATCAATTGACGAAAAAGTATATTTCAATTAAAATGTTTGCTCACCAGTACTGAATGTTTCCCAGATGACAACCCCAAAAGCCCATACATCACTGATTGAAGTACAAGTCTTCATTGAACCATAACACTCTGGGGCAAGCCACTTAATTGGTTTTCTTTCCTTAAACAAAACAGTTTCACAATCATTGCTGTTAGGTAATCTTTGTTTGGAGCAACTTTTCATTTATTCTTTGCAAACTATCAATAATTTGTTATCACTCTGCATGAAATTGTTTTTTTATTCTATGGTGCTGTTTAACTATAAAAAGTTGAGAAGTTTCCCCGCATGCGTTTGTTTCTGTTATATGTTTTAACTCAAAGCATAAAAATAACATGTAATTTCGGAGTACCACCATTCTCCACAATCGTAGCCATTTACACTTTGAGAGGAAAGGCACTTGCAAACTTTTTATATTTGTGTTAAATTTTTATCTAAAAAATACTCAGTATATGTAAAATGTTTGTTTTTGATTTTTCTTATATCTCCATAAAAACTATTAAACAGCATCAAAACTCTTCTTGCTGCCGGTAAAACTCATCTTACAAAACGAATTGTTGACGCTGTTTACGGAGATCAATGAAATTAAAGACAAAAATGTCATTTATGGTTCTATAGATAAATTATCGTAGAAGACAACGGTAACAAAAATTCTGTCATTTATCGGAACCGTGTTATTATTATATTTTGCCTTTATATGATTTTTTTTAAAAAATGTCTGTTTATAATAAAAAATAACTTATTTTGAAAAATATTTGAAAAATAAAAAAAATTCTGGTGACAATATCTTTCATTAATATTTAAAAAGGATATACACAATAACAATTCTTTGTGTACCCGGAGGATGCTCTTCATATAAGTTTGATTGTTTGTGCATGGGGATTGGGGTGGGAGTAGTTATTAAGAATTAAAGGTTTTCTAAATATTGAAAAGATTGTTAATCATATAAATTACGAAAAAATATATTTTCAAAAATGAAATTCAAAATATATATATGTTTTCATATTTAATATATAAAGTTGTTTATCATTTACTATAAAAAACGGGCTCCCTTTTTTTAATGAATTTTACTTCTCGCATAAAAACGTCAAATATTTTAAAATTGAAATATATTTTTGATTATAGGTGATGCAGTGTCTAACTTCAATTTATATTTATGCAGTCAACATTTATAAAACAATTTAAAATGATATCGTTTTGGTTTGATTTTTATCCGACTAGAAGTTTTCAAAATATTCGCAGCTATCCTCCATCAATTACATGCCTTTTCATACATATCGAAGCGGTTTGATGATCAAGACTCAATTTCATTGTTTACTTTATATACTTCCCGGGCGACAATTGATGGTTACATCAATGTTTTCTTGTCTTTTGTTGTGTCACGTTTTATAAAAAGCGGACAAACATTATTGAAAAAAACTAGTGTTTCAAAAGAAATTCAAAGAAATTATGAATTATGAAATATAGGGAGATAAAGAACAGTACTCTAGCTCAAAAGTCCATTAAACAATACAACATAGGAGTAAACACGGACATCCAAAACAAAAGGTGGGATTAGGTGCCATGGAGGAGTGAGCATCCTCTGCCGACTAGTCACACCGTCCGTGTGTTCCTTGTCACGACCGGGAAATATAAAAAAAAACGTCAGTGCATAAATAATGGACTAACAATTGATATGAAAAACGTCAGCCAGCACTTGACTCAATAACATATCTTGGTGAACTTTACATACATACCAAGTTTCTGTCGTGAGAAGAAAATGGAGGATAGCAGTTTAAAAAAAAGTCCCCCCGAAATTCATCCAAAAACATTGCACACTTTCCTAGTGCATAAACCTTTCTACTCTTTAAAATCCATAAATACATTGCTACTAAGGAAACACTCTAATCTTTAAAATCTATCAATACGTCGCTAATAAAGAAAAATTTATAACAATTTATTAATAAGTATACCATGGCTTCCTTTTTATTTAATTCGTTCTCTCCCTCCTCGGGTGTGGGACCAAAGCCTGCTACTTTGGGAACAAGGTTTGAGGTCAGTAGAATATTTCTGGCCGTCAACCTTTTGTGTACAATCTAGATTAAAAATAAATATTTAACTAAGCTATGATAGATAAACTATATTTCAAACTTCTTTTCAAACATAACAAAATTAATTTAATTTTATGCAGATATTTCACGTTAGGTGTATTTAAGTATTCTCATTTTATACCCACTCCTTTGATTGCCAGGGCCTCCATGCCTTTGGCTATACCGTGGACTATTTTACAGAGAGATGTTATCATGTCATCATTTATTTTATCTTTTTGTCCAATCAGCCATTCTTTTAATTGCCCAAGCTCACAATATTCCAGAAGCATATATGGTCCAACTAGAAAGGTTAAGGTTTATTTATTAATTTCAGGAGGTGGCGTTTATGGTATTCAAAAAATTTATGATTTTTTAAGAAGAATGCGTTAAAAAACTCTGTATTTAACGATGTGTATACCATAGAAAAACAGTGCTATTTTCTGAAAACTAAATTTTGTGTTAAAGAAAAAAAATTATGATAATTTTATGCTGGTCAATATATCATTGATAAACAACATACAGAGAGGGATGATTCAGGACCGATCCTAAAAATTGTATGATATTTTCGTGAGGTGGAACCTCGGTGGCAAAGAAGCTGATCTTGGCCTGTAAAACGAGGCGGTCTTCTTCATTGTAATCCTCTGCAATGTAAAAACAAATATAAAGATTTAATTGAGTTTCTGATTGCCATCTGGTTTCTAGACATCAGGTCTTCCAATGATTAATTGGATTTCCCATGGGTACCAATTGAGCTCTGTTATAAGCAGACCTATTTGTGTATTAAAATGAAGCAGAATTTGATATTGTCTATCTTTAAAATATATTTTTTAAACATAATTTTAAAACCTTTTAAAATTTTAGCCACAATAACATCTTTCTTGCAGAGTTCTGCTAAATAGATATCAGCGAAGTCTCCAGATTTAATTTTTCCCTTCAGTGTTATATCATCAAAAGTATATAACCAGCCCTCGTTGTCAGAAAAAACCATTCTGCCAAAGTCGTAAATTTCCTCATCTTGAAAATGTCCATTGTAGAACCCCGTCTGCAAGAGACCATTTAGGAAGCTCTTTGTAGAGTCAATTTTAATAGACTAATGGCAATAGATTTTGAAAAACATCATTTCAAAAAGCAGGTTACTGTGATGAAAAAAATGTGAAGATAATATTAAGTGATTGATCTAAAAGGAATCTTCAAACACTAGGCACAGGACATAAAAAAGTTCCCCGAAACCCCAAAGGTAGTATCTTGTTTGTCTAGAAAATAGTCTTTTTGGTTTAAATCGTTGGATGAATTTGTGGTGATATTGCATTTGTTTGGTAAATTAGATTTTTAACAAATACTTTCACCGGAAAATTATTCATTTGGAAGAGAATGGTTTGTTAGATACCTTTCGTTTTCCCATCATCATGGTAACCGGTCTCTTTAGGTACATGGTCAATCTACGTTTTGTTTCTGTATTCAGGCGCCCAGTCCTCCATAAAACGACAAACGCCAAAATAATTCCCAGCAAGATGGCCAGGACTACAAATAACAAATTGTTTGATGTGTAAAGTATCAAAACTAATTACTAAATTCTACATTCTATTAGAATTCAACAAATAGAATATTTAGCACCAAGAAAATGGTGTCATTCTTAAAGAGTTTACCTGCGCTGACACCTGCAATCAGAGATATGGGTATGGCTGGCGGTGTCTCTATACTCCACGAATTCATCAACGCTGCTGTTTTCCCTGTATTGTTTGATATCACCTCAACACAGTACTCTTTCCCTGACTCCAGACTGCTCAGGGTATATTCTGTTTTATCTGTGGGTAGGGCTATCTCTCGAGGAGGTTTGGATTTATCGCAGTCGATATAAACGAAGATGGTGATGTCTGCAACTTTATAGCAGGAAGGTATATTATCCCAGGTAAACTTAACTTCGTTCCCAATCGACTCTTTTTGAAGATTTTTAATCCCAACACCTTTAATAGAAAAAAATTAATTACATGTACCACAACAGAGACAAAAAAAACCTATCATGTTCCTGAAGAGAAATGTTTTTGAAAATCCATATCACAGCATAAAAAAAACCTATCTTGTGACTTTTTTGGAAATGTCAATGAAATAAAAGCATCTTGTTTATTAAAAGCAAAGAAAAAAAGTTAAAAGTAGGTATTTATTATAAAAATAAGTTTAAAGTAATAATCTGAAAATTCACAATCATCACAACGATGTTTGTTTGTTTGTTTGTTTGTTTTTTTGTTTGTTTGTTTGTTTTTGTTTTTGTTTTTGTTTTTTTTGCAAATGCAATCTATTAATGGGTTGTAATTCGGAAGTGTTTTGCCTAAATGTTTTCCATTCTTTTAATACCAGATTTAAAACGATTTCTCCGTTTATCTGAACAATACACACATTACATAGCAGATGTGACATGTCGGCATTACATGATTGACAATATCTATGCTGTTTTTTGGAAACCAGATCTTCCAACAATCTATTGGAATACCCATTGGTACCAATTGCGCCCTGTTACTAGCTGACCTATTTTTATATTCATATGAAGCAGACTCTGTGCAAAATCTTATGCGTGAAAAGAAGAAAAAACTTGCTGTGGCCTTCAACTCGACATTTAGATATATCGACGACGTATTGTCAATTAACAATTGTAATTCCCATTCTTATGTCGAAATGATATGTCCTGGTGAGCTTAAAATAAAAGATACCACAAGCTCTTACACATGTTTCATATTTGGATACGACCAGGGGTTGAATATATTACTTGAAAAGACGTTAATGGTAATATAACATCCAAGTTTTATGATAAATGTGATGCCTTTAACTTTTCTATCGTCAACTTCCCTTACTTAATCAGCAATGATATACCTTCATCACCTGCATACGGAGTTTGTGTATCTCAATTGATTCAATATGCAAGAGCATGCTCTACATAACCGTCGTATGAAAAATTTCTATAAAAAAGGTAAATTATTGGCAAACAAGTTGATGAAATGAGAATATCAACAAAAACCTTGTCAGCAAATACAATTTATCATTGAGTCAAATTCTGACTAATTGCATACTAATGGTAAGTCAATTATTTATACACTGAATATTGACGATGGATTTTTCCGTTATATCCTGATCATGACAAGGAGCACACGGCGGGTGTGAACAGTCGGCAGGGGATGCTCACTCCTCCATGGCACCTGATCCCACCTCTGATGTTTTGGAGGTCCGTATTCGCTCTGCTTCTTTTTTATATTGTTGAAAGGACTTTTTGTCTTGAATACCATTCGTTATCTCCATGTGTTTCATGCTAAATAAACTTCTGATGATCCCATCTCCAGTATTTTATCTTTTAAAAATCTTCGTCATTTTATTTTCGAAAATTCTTTCCAAAAAGTTATTTTAAATCACACACTGACCCTTTTGTAGAAATTGGGTTATAGCCTGTAGTGTGCTTTTGATAGTTTTTGTAGAAGAGATTTCACCAGAAATCCAAGAATGCTACTCACCAGCTTCAATTCCATTAAAGGACGTTAAACTGTTGAGCTAAACAGTAAAGTATAGGTTGTGAGATTAATATTTTTGCCACTGATAAATATCATGGATTAAAGAAACATTTAAATTTGGTTTCACGATCAATAACACTCGAATTAATTGCTGTTCGTATTAATGAGTATCATAAGGTCATACCACCATTTTGATCACTATACCATTAAAGGGTAACTTTGGATGATAAACTGTTGAATGCCTAATTCCACAGTAAAATAGTTGTCAGGCTGTGTCCTTTTTGTAGCATTCTCCCATAGGAATACAGTAACAGTCATCAGACGTGGAGCAATCATATATCTAAAACAAAACTTTTTAAATGTTCAATTAGTCCTATGTTTTTCCTCATAGGAATCTTTAAAAACAAATTCATATTAATAACACCCGAATTTTAAATTGCTTTTTTTATTAATTACGAGTATCAAAAAGGTCATATCCAAAACCATTTTGATCACTACACACATAGCCATACACAAGTTCTTTAAATAGCATATCCTGGGTTTTCTTTGGGACGTCACAATGTGAAAATGACGTCCTGGTCACTTGTGAAAAAATGGCTGTCTCAGTCGAACTCGTTTAACAAACGACTGTACAATATATTGTATATCTTAGAAATCCCTCTACAGTATCATATAATAATTTTTACACAGTTTATTGTCAATGGTTCCTATAAATTCAATTAGTTGGATTAATCGTTTTAGTGAAGGAAGGCTGATGGTTGAACTCCAGTGAAAGCAAGTTCTTTTGTATTTTTAATTAAGCAATTTGCTATCAAAGACCTCCAATTAGCACTTTGAAAAATAGAATATTTGAACAATGATATAAGTATTAAATACAGATGTAGTTTACTTTCGATTTTAAACATATTAGATATGATAAAAAGGATGCAATTCATATATCTAAAACACGCACTTTTTAAATGTTCATTAAGTCCTATGTTTTCCTCATAGGAATCTTTAAAAACAAATTCATATCCTAACTCTCATTACAAACGAAACGACAATTTAAATTGCATTTTTTAGAATGTCCTTTAATTAAGTAGAAAATTTCAAACCTGAACCGGGTTGTTCAAGAAAAATCCTTCTTTATGTATGTTGTTTTGCTTGTTTCTGTACCTTATTCGCCATCTGACCTGTCGAACACCGCTGTGTTTATCCGAAGCACTTATACGAACGCTAGAAAATAAAAGTACAGACCCATGTAAACATCTGTCTGAAATATTTATAGAACAAACCGGGAAAAGTGATAAAATATACTTATATCACGTTTTACCTGCTTGAGTAATCATATGTTTTGTTGCCAACATTTTTTGTAAACAAAGCATCACTTGCAGATGGTGGCGAGCCGTCAAAATTTACTAGTCTGGAATTGGTCTTTCTATTGTTTACTATATCGCGAGCTCTGACAGAGATATTTATACTGTCACCGTCTTTCCATTCGTATTTAAGAACAAATGTACTGTTTGTGATATCATGTATCTTATTCCACTGGTTTTCCATTTCCTTCCCGTTCATTGTATATATACATGGTGATCCACTTGTCATAACGGTTACCGTTGACATAGTTGAAGAAGGGATTGTGTATTTATTCTTTGTTGATTTTATTTCTGACGTTATAGTATTTTCAAAATTTCCTGACGTGAATGTAAAGTTACCAGATTCAGTTGTATTAGCAGTTGTCATTGTTTCTGTGATATTGTCGAAGTTGTTACTTGCAGTTGTTGGTGTATTTCTATATGAAATAAACGTGTAGTATACTTCAAATTCAGTTATTCCATTCACGTGTTTCACAGCCGAGACGGTTCTTTTTCCGTCATGGTCATCGTAAACTTCTTTCACATATTTCACAACTTCATTCTTCAGCTCCTTTAATTCACCGCCTTCTACTTGAATAGGAAAATTCTCGACTGGCAAAAAGAAGTGGTTTTCCACCTGGTATGAGTTTCTGAAGTAGTCTCTCCACGTGATTTCCACTGTGGAACACCTTGATTGCCAGCTGTAATTACTGAGTTTCTCTGCACTGGACACGTACAAGTTAGATTCTTCAGTTGTTGTGATTGTAGAATTTGGGTCATATATAGCAATCTGTCTTGCAAACTCCGAGTTGTTAGCTTTATCTGTTACTTGCAAAATGAATGAATAAACTCCTGGATCGGGTGGTGTAAATTCTTCAAAGGGTTTTTCTGGTATATGTCCTTCCTTACGACTGAGTGGATGCATTGGTGCTTCCTCCGTCAGTGCATCAGAATCGGTTTTCTTTTTCAGGTTATGCACCTCTAGAAAGTAGGTTTTGATTCCTGAGGGAATATCATTCCATCCATTTATTTCGAACGTAAATGGGTCCTTACCAAAAAAAATATAAATAAAACATCTTCAGATTGTGTTTTGAATTGATGATTATAATTTCTTTTTAAACATTTGAACTAGAATAGAAAACAATCATACACACTTAAACTGTTAGTATCGTTTATGGAATAAAATTGGAATAACAACAAACACATACGATAAAATCTTTTTCCCATTAAAAGGCAATACAATATTTACATACTAAAATATGTACATTTTAGGTATGTATGTATCATGGATGTATGGACACTAAAAGAAAATAAAATGAGACAATTACCTTACTTGCATCATTTGATAGTTTCAGTGGTAACAATTCATACAACGCACAATTGTTTGAATCAGAACAATGTTTAGGTTTCGTAAAGTCGAAAATGAAGTTAAGGGATCTGTGAGATATTGCTGAGGTATAATTATCTTTCCTGAAAAAATTATCCATGTTCCTAAGATTTCTAAATCCGCTTGTTTCTGTTACTGCAAGTATAGTTAAACTGAAAAAAAAATATTGAATTTAGATAGATTGCAAGATGTATCAAGAAAGTTTATTGACATTACAAATAGTATACAAGAAGTATCACAAAAGTTGACAAACAGAGAGCATACAAGATGTATCAAGAATGTGTTTTTAAATTTAACTCACTTGTCGCCATCTTCAATCACCCTGTTGAATTGATCATATGAAATTTTACAAATCAGTTGTCCGTTGTATGGCATTGCCCTGCTAAAGGTACCTGGGCATGAGAGTGTTGTATTTAAACTAACATCAGTCGTTCCACCTAAACAAAAATGATCAAGCGTTATATGTGAAATCGTACGTATATAATATATATATATATATATATGAACCTTTAGGAGTAAACATCTCCAACCGGTCATGTCCGCCGTTTTCTCCTTGTCACGATTGCGAAATAAGGGTCGGATTCATATTTTCAAATGAACGTTATTTTATACATATATTGCTTTTTTTATCCTAGACTATCTAAATCATTATACTGGCATTAGAACAGCACTAATATTTCAGTATTTTTTAGTGAATTATACAAATTCTTCATTCCTTTTTATAATCCTATGGTTTATTTTCAGAATAACTCTTTTTTTACTCCAAAAAGTTTAACTCTTTCTTCTTCAGAGTAAGGGTTTCACGTGCAGCAGCATGAAATATTAAAAACACGAACAGTAATCAAGCTCAAAAATCCATCGAGATAATACAAGTAGAGCAGAGTAGCAGAGCTAAAATGTATCTCTAAAAACATAAGATGTGGGATCAGGTGTCAAGGAGGAGTAAACAACCCCTGTCGATCGGTCACACATGCCGTTAGTTCCTTTTCTTGATCGGAGAAATCTAACACAAGATTGTTGTTTCAAAGTTTCTCCAATTGATTAGAGCCTTAATTCGTAATGCAAATATGGACATTTTTATCAAGGACGCTTAAGTCTTCATGACACCTAGTTCTCTCTCTGTTGTTTTTAGAGGCCTGTGTTTGCTTTACTTATGATTTTTATTGTTTATATTTACTTTCAAGTTGAATATTGTTCGTTATCTCCATACATTTCATTTCTTCCATTTCTTAAATTATACATGTAAGAGAAAAATAACAACAGGAAATGATGACTGACGGAGGAAGAATATGTACAATAATCTATCAGAATACAAATAATTTTTGTGTTTATGATTCGTCGCAAACCACGGCCAAAATACCCGATCCTTTACCATTCTGTAGAGAGCTAAATGCGGACTCCGGACCATGGTCTGAGACGATGTAGGTAATAAGTATTATTAATTATCATAATACCAGTTCGGCCTATTTTGGCGAGAACAACCCTTGCATAGGCAGAAACAATCCCAATGCTAAAATTTTGGATGTAGAACGCTGGAAAGGACAGATCAGGGTTGAAAATAGCCTCGAAGTGAATCAAGAAATAGTTATAGTCCTTCCTGTTCACCCATAGCGATTGGAGAGAGGAGAAGGCATCTGCGTTGTACTCGTATAATAGACGGTTGTCAGCTCTCCTAACATGCAGTAACTTTGTATTCAGAGTTGTAAATTTTGCACCAGGAGGATCGACTGAAAAAGGAAAAATATCATTTTAAGTAATTATATTTAAAAAAATATAGCAGTAAAAGTACTGCTTGAAAGGAAATGCCAACATTAAACATGTGCAAAAAATATTCTTTGTTTAAATAACAATCAAAGAAAAAGCTGTTCTTCACTTTGAAGACATGATGATCCGCTGAAGCCTTGGTCACAGGAGCAGGTGTCATTGAGGCAGGAACCCGGATAACAAGGTCTTAGATGCGAACATGTCACAGCTAAAATAAAAATATCCTCATCTGTATGTAGGCATTAGTATTACTTCGTTACTTATTTTTCGAATGTAGACTGGTAAGATGGAAATTATCGAAAGTGCAATTTAAAAAGAAATATTTGAAAAATAAACAAGTTGTCTGGCTGTAAATAATTCTTACGTCATATGGATTTTTTGTACTTCGCTTTTCTTTTTTTCGGGGGGGGGGTGGGGTGGGGTGGGGGTGGGGGTGTCATTTTCCCACAATTTGACACAGCTTTTCTGCGGAAAAATCCAAATCCTGCATCTCCGCGATTATCGCCATTCCTACATTGAACTCTCTTTTCCATTGGATATAATACATTTGTTACCACAATTGTTTCTGTACTGGTTTATAATTTCTATCACACTCTACATCACTACAGAGTATAACTTCTTTAGGGAAAATAAGGTAAATATCGGTAACTGTTTGATGCTAAGCGCTCACCATGACCATTGAATTAAAAATCGCGGAAAGGAGGTTTCAAAAAATAGGAAATAACTAATAACGCATAGTAAAAATTAGAGACTATAGCTCTACTGGTTTATACTTAAAACAAAGGAAGAGAAAAGTAGCAGTTGGGACAGGTGGACTTTAAAACAGCAATATAAAAAAAAATGATCCTTGCCGCTAATCAAAAGAAAACCAGATGCACAGAATTATGTATCTTAGTGTAGTCTACTTGTCAGCTAAGTTATATTGAAATTGGACCAAAACTGTAGGAGGAGTAGCATTTTGAAAAATTTTACAGAAATTTCTATTTTTAGTAACCACGGCAACACTGTTCATCGAAATCAAAAACAAATGCACAGAATTATGTATTTTTTTTTACTTGTGCCAAGTTATTTGAAATAAATCATTGAAAGAATTTCTCAGAAATTTCTATTTTTAGTAACCATGGCAACACCGTTCATCGAAATCAAACCGAATATATGTATCTTAGTGTAGTCTACTTGTGTGCCAAGTTATATTGAAATTGGATCAAAACTGTAGGAGAATTAGCATTTTGAAAGCATTTCACAGAAATTTCTATTTTTATCAAAAAACTTCTCGAAATCAAAAACCGATGCACAGAATTATGAATCTTAGTGTAGTCTACTTGTGTGCCAAGATATATTGAAATTGGACCAAAACTGTAGGAAGAGTAGCATTTTGAAAGAATTTTACAGAAATTTCTATTTTGAGTAACCACGGCAACACCGTTCACTGAAATCAAAAACCGATGCACAGAATTATGTATCTTAGTGTTCTTTGTGTGCCAAGTTATATTGAAATTGGATAAAACTGTGGTATTTTAAAAAATTTCAAAAATTTCTATTTTTAGTGGCAACACCGTTTCAAAATCAAAAACCGATGTATATCTTATGTTGTACTTGTGTGCCAAGTTATATTGAAATTGGATCAAAACTGTAGGAGGAGTAGCATTTTGAAAAATTGTTTACAGACAGACAGATTTTCGCATAAGCTCTTCTGGTCTCTGACCAGTAGAGCTAAAAACCAGTCGCGGAAAAGCAGTATGAGGTCGCAGAAAAGCACACAGGTGGCGAATATAAAATCGCGGAAAGGCAGGATCGCTGGTGTAACGTTGAATATTGACCGGGTTGAAAATTTTCCCGGGGTTTATTTTCAAAGTTGAATATTGTACCGGGGTACTTTTTTACTGTTGAAAATGCATACATGTCCAAGAACAAATTCGATGTCGATATCGACGATATCGACAATATTATGTCGATATCGTATCGATATCGATCGTCATGAGCACTATTAATTGGAAATATCTTGGCCATATTTGAGACTTTATATTATATATATCAACAATATCATGACGATATCGTAGATATCGATCCTATTTGCACAATTTATTTTCATAATGAGGTATAACATAATTTTTCAAAGTCACAAGTGAATCAAAATTGATTCATAATTGGCATGAATATGAAAATAAATTATGATTAAGACAGCATTAGGGTTGTTATTGTTTTAGATTAGATTTAGAGTAAGGTTTTTGGATAGGGTGACAAATCTTGAAAATATTTCAACAATCAGGATTCGATATCGATACGATATCGTCGATATCGACAGTAAGGTAAACTTATTAAACACAGAAGTGATGTAAAAATAAAGTTTTTGTATTATGGTGAAGGTTGGTAAAGTAATATGCTTTTAACAATCATGATTCGATATCGATACGATATCGTCGATATCGACGGCAGGTAAAATCTCCGTAAAAGTAAAGTAAATAAACATAAACACATTCAAAGTAACAGGGAAGGTATTTACCAAGGGCTTTACAAAAATGATTCGATATCGAAACGATATCGTCGATATCGACGATATCGACACTTCAGGGAAAGATTTATTAAAAAAAGTTTAAGTAAAAGTTGTAAAACACACAATATTATAAGGATGGAAACCACAATTCTTGGAACAATCATGATTTGATATCGGCAATATCGAGGATATTGACAGTAAGGAAATAGTCTTAAAACAGGAAGTCATGTAATAAACGCACGAGAATAGAGAAATATTATAGAAACTATAAAAAAGTAATGTCTCGATATCGTAACTACATCGTGTCTTGGACATAACTCTGAAAATGGAAACCAAACGTCGTGGAATTTATACTTGGGGTCCTTTTTCAACAGCTTGGTATTTTTTTTTCTAATTTTTAATAAATCATTGAAAGTTGAATTAATTCTGTTTCTCAGGAATATATAAACAGGTCAGTTTATAAAGGAGCACAATTTGTGCCCGACGTATTCCAACAGTTTATCAAAAAACTTCTCGGAAGACTGTAAATGTTATCAATGGGGAATTCCAGCATCTTTTGATGTCGACTTCGGAATACTTGTTCAGTATACTTGTAAAGTGTTCATAAGCATACTGTAAAGTGTTCTTTAACAAAGTTACTGTAAATAAACATGGTATTCTAAAAAATAAAAATTGAATTAAGTGTTATATTTAATGATAGTTGTTAATATCAATTCATAAATATGTTTATTATATGATTGAATAATTTCCATCTCTCTGATTGGCTGAACTATGTGAGAAAAATATTACGTTGTATTGACCTGCACGTGATGTTCCAGGTCAATACAAGGATTTATTCCCTCTACATTGATCTAAAAATAGATTGGGAAATTCCAAATTGATACAAATTGTTTTGGAAAGCTATTTAAATGACTATGATTTTTTTTCTCATGTGAACAGAACATAAGTGAATATATATTTTAGGGTGAGGGTGGTAGGAGGGGATGCAGGGGCCCCCTCTAACATTTTTACCGAACATTTTTAGCTCACCTGAGCCGAAGGCTCAAGTGAGCTTTTCTGATCACATTTTGCCCGTCGTCCGTCCGTCTGTAAACTTTTCACATTTTCGACTTCTTCTCAAGAACCACTGGGCCAATTTTAACCAAACTTGGTACAAAGCATCCTTAGGTGAAGGGGAATTTAAATTGTTAAAATGAAGGGACATATCCCCTCGCAAGGGGAGATAATCAAGAAAAGACAAAAATAGGGTTGGGTCATTAAAAAATCTTCTTCTCAAGAACTACTGGGCCAGTAAAGCTGAAACGTATGTGGAAGCATCCTGTGGTAGTGTAGATTCTAAATTGTTCAAATCATGACCCCCGGGGGAAGGGCGGGGCCACAATGGGGAATCAAAGTTTTATATAGAAATATATAGGAAAAATCTTTGAAAATCTTCTCAAGAACCACTGGGCCAGAAAAGCTGAAACTTATGTGGAAGCATCCTGGTATAGTGTAGATTCTAAATTGTTCACATCATGACCCCCGGGGGAAGGGCGGGGCCACAATAGGGCATCAAAGTTTTACATAGAAATATATAGGAAAAATCTTTGAAAATCTTCTTCTCAAGAACCACTGGGCCAGAAAAGCTGAAACTTATGTGGAGGCATCCTGGTATAATGTAGATTCTAAATTGTTCAAATCATGACCCCCGGGGGAAGGGCGGGGCCACAATGGGGAACCAAAGTTTTATATAGAAATATATAGGAAAAATCTTTGAAAATCTTCTTCTCAAGAACCAATGGGCCAGAAAAGCTGAAACTTATGTGGAAGCATCCTGGTATAGTGTAGATTCTAAATTGTTCAAATCATGACCCCCGGTGGAAGGGCGGGGCCACAATAGGGCATCAAAGTTTTACAAAGAAATATATAGGAAAAATCTTTGAAAATCTTCTTCTCAAGAACCACTGGGCCAGAAAAGCTGAAACTTATGTGGAGGCATCCTGGTATAATGTAGATTCTAAATTGTTCAAATCATGACCCCAGGGGTAAGGGCGGGGCCACAATGGGGAATCAAAGTTTAATATAGAAATATATAGGAAAAATCTTTGAAAATCTTCTTCTCAAGAACCACTGGGCCAGAAAAAGTGAAGCTTATGTGGAAGCATCCTGGGGTAGTGTCAATTCTAAATTGTAGGAATCATGACCCCTGGGGGAAGGGCAGGGCCATTATAGGGAATCAAAGTTTTACATAGAAATATATAGGAAAAATCTTTGAAAATCTTCTTCTCAAGAACCACTGGGCCAGAAAAGCTGAAACTTATGTGGAGGCATCCTGGTATAATGTAGATTCTAAATTGTTCAAATCATGACCCCCGGGGGAAGGGCGGGGCCACAATGGGGAACCAAAGTTTTATATAGAAATATATAGGAAAAATCTTTGAAAATCTTCTTCTCAAGAACCAATGGGCCAGAAAAGCTGAAACTTATGTGGAAGCATCCTGGGGTAGTGTAGATTCTAAATTGTTCAAATCATGACCCCCGGTGGAAGGGCGGGGCCACAATAGGGCATCAAAGTTTTACAAAGAAATATATAGGAAAAATCTTTGAAAATCTTCTTCTCAAGAACCACTGGGCCAGAAAAGCTGAAACTTATGTGGAGGCATCCTGGTATAATGTAGATTCTAAATTGTTCAAATCATGACCCCAGGGGTAAGGGCGGGGCCACAATGGGGAAT